TGAGCAGGAGGCAGGCTGGCGTAATTGAGCAGACTGTAGCTCTGCTTGTGATTTCCTAATGCATGGGAATGATTAAATCTGCACACTTGAACTTAAGATGGCATACGGTCACTTCTACCTTGATGCACTGGAGAGATGTGAATCGGCGTAATTGAGCATGTTTTTTTTCCAGCCTATGGGCCTTGGTTACCTGGCAGTTATCAACCACATGCCTGTCTAGGTGGCTGAGTGGCAGCAATGGCTGTTTGTTTTGAAAAAACAAAGCTACTCTATATTCCTTCTCTACTATTCTGGTGGTGGCAAGCTGCTGCTGGATGTCCTAAAATCATAGGATTTCATTTTTCGCTGCGGCTGAAGACTTTGATTCATTCTAGTTCAAATTCCTCTTCATTTTATCGCTTCAATTTATCTGAATGAAGTGCTCTTTCACCATCTGTCACCCTGAGTTGCCCCCAGAACACGGGGTGGAAGAGGCACGTTGTCTTTCTGGCTGTGTATGTCTGAAGAAACGCTCAGAAGGCGATATAGCAAAATCCTCCTAGTACAAGGAACCTGTGTCTAAGGAAGAAAGAGAGCTGTGGATGGCTCATTCTCAGCAGCAAGTCCCAGAGGTGAACTGCTGGCAGCTGGATCTCAGTGCAGCAGAGGGCAGTGCAAGACTATTGTTGCAGCCATGTAGCTCATTTCTCTGTGGTACTGTGAGTACTTTGCAGAGGTAGCCTTCCATAAATGACCGTCTCCCCCCTGCAGTTCTGTCATCTCTCCAGCATTTGAGGAACAAATCGTCAGCCTCTCCCCATTCTTTCAGTCTCACTTGTCCTGTTTCCTCACACTACTTTTCACAAGTGGAGAACCCAGAATTTCAAGAGGACTCCCTTTGGATTCTCAGGTCGTGAGTTCAAAGTGTGCATGGCTCAGTGGGCCTTGGGTTTTGGCTTATGCTTTACCCAGCTCTGTGAAATAAAAATTGGACGAGTGCTTATATGGTAAGTGGCTTGAGTGTAGCACCTGTCACTCTGTCAAACTCACAGCTGGCAGTGCCCTTGCAAGTATGAGGCTGTTTAGATAAGGAATTCTCCAAAAAGGCTGCTTCTTGGAGGAACACTAAGACACCTTTTCACTCCTAAGGGGGACGCATTTCTTTTTTCTGAGTGGTTCCTGTCCTGTTGTTAAACAGATTCCAGTCCCCAGAACGGAGCTCCTGATACAAAGATTACTTAAAATAGAAGCCCAGAAGGCACTGACGAGTTGCTGTATGGATTGCAAAAGAAAGCTCAGTGATTATGGATGTTATTTTAGAAATAATTGGGAAAAGAAATTCTGAGTGTCTGCACATAGAGAACATAGAAATGTGTGTGGCACTGCTGCCATTAGTCAAATATAGACAAGTGGAATGGGAAGTGGAATAATATTTCAAAATGAGTAATTACATCAGGCACAAGTCCAGTGATTGCTTTATTAAAGCCTTGATGAGTGCCATGCAACTCCTCATCTATAGCAGGGAGCTGTACAAAGTGTGCAATGCCAGTACTTCATAAAACAGCAGAGGAGGGGGCCTACACTCCTTGAAGGTAAAGGCAGCTTTCCTTTTTTCCCCCCCACTTCTTGCCCAAAGCACTATCTTTCTTGCTAGCTAGTGTGGGAGAGATCATAGTCATTTAGGTTGGAAAAGACCTTTAAGATCATCAAATCTATCAACCTCACCTAAGCCTGACCTGATGAGCCAGAATATCCAGTAGCTGCTTTGCTTTCTGAAAGCGTATGGCAAAACACTGTAGTGACAGTTATCTCTTTCCTATCCCCTCTGCATGTATTTGCAGGTACATGAAGTGATTCCATTAAGATTAACAGGTCAATTGCAATGATTTATAACTGTCTTTCTCCTCCTTTCCTGACCTGAAATGCATTGAGGTCATTAATGTGTTACTGACAGCTGGGGCTGGCTTGCCATGAGAAGGACAAGGAAGCAACACAGGCCCAGTAAGGATTATTAACATACCTTAATGGAGCTGTAGCATTCCTTTTTGCTTCCTGTTCACTTCTCTAACTACTTCTGTTCACTGACCAGAAAAAAAGGGAAGTACTGAATCTTGTGATAACATTGATATTAGTCTTTGTGAAATGCCAGTGTGGATGGTCCTGATTGAGAGGTGGATAGGTGGTGTTTCCCTGTTTAGTACCAAAGGCAGTAGCTTGAAGCATCTTTAATGGAATAGATGAGAGTGTGATGCCAGTTCTGATTTAAGGAAGACTCAGGAGGGAGCCTGAGATTGTTGCAGGAATGAATGGTGGGCCTGAGCCTGTTCTCATGTGCGAAAACATCTGCCACTGAAGCACAACTGAAGCTCACCTCAAACTCATTTAAACGGCTTCTGGTTTCCTTCTGAAGTGATTGAATCATAGAATGGCTTGGATTGGAAGGGATCTCAAAGATCATCTAGATCCTCTAGTTTATCTGGGTGAATCCTTCCTGAGGCACCTCTGCAGTGGGGAATGGGTGAAACCTTGTGCAGCCAGAGGCAAATTGTGATCTTGCTGCCTGGAATCAAAGACTTTGAGGCAGTATTGAATGTGTGTGTTTAGGGGGAAAAGATGGTATGCACAAAGCAGAAATTAACAGAGGCAAAAAAGGGGAAGGAGGGAAACCTGCAGGCAGTTCTGGAAGGGAAAGGAATGTGTTTCCAAGAGCAGCATCTTCAATCAAATTTAAAAGGTGGCTCTTACACTGCTGTGATTGAGTTCAGGTGGTCCACCTAAAGAGCAGTCCAGATCTCATGGCATCTTCACTCTAACCCAGATGAAGCTGTCAGCTGCCAACCAAACCAGGCTTTAGACGCAGTCAGAATGGCTGTTGCTTTACACTGTACACTGGCAAGCAAATACTGATACTGTTAAGAACTGTATCAGCTGCAGTACTTCAGGCCCTGTGCCAACTGCTGGGAGCTCTGCAGAGTAACATGCAACATGGTCCTGAATTTCTGAAACCTGCCTCAGCAGGCAGGAAATCAATGTGCAGCAGCTGTGGTGGAGCTGAGTGCTGCATGGCCCTGAGCATCCCTCTAAGGGAGGGACAGAGCTCGGTCTTGTTTCAGTGCTGATGTTTCTGACAGAGCAGTGAGGCTGACTTTGGAAAGCGGTGCAGGGCTGGTCTGAGCTCCTTTGTGCTCGTGCTGTGACTTGCAAGGAAAGATGTGAGGAACCAGCTTCAGAGCTCATCTCTGAGCACATCTCTGGGGCAGAAACAAGAAGCCCTTCTGAGTTTCCTTCCAGCAGGGACAGAGCACAGTGGTAACCACATGCTCATGGTGCTTATAGATGGGGACTGTTCTTGTGTCAGTGAATTCCACAGACATGCTCTGCTTCTCTGAAAGATGCTCAGCTTTTCAGAGGCATGAGAATCACCCAGGAAAGTTGGAATGACAGCCTTCTTTCAGCCTTCAAACCTAATTTGACGTGAGTAGTTCTGTAGAAATCTGTAGTATGAATGTGTGCCTTGAAGTTCCTAACAAGAAGCAGACATCAAACTCAATAAACTGTTTGTACTGTCTGTGTTGGAGGCAAAACAGAACCAAGTGGGATTAATAGGTGAATTTGCTATTGATCAACCTTTGGTGGAAGCAACAAAAATAATCCATTTTAAAACTGCCTTTAACCTTCCAGTATGACAGGATTACTTCTAAATTCCATGATCTCAATCCTGTTCACTGCTTCTGTGGGCTACAGGACACTGCTGCATATAGGTAGCATCCATGAGTGAAACAAATCCCTCTTGATGGTGTTGTGACATACTTATCCTTCTGTCTCCAGCCCCACTTTATGTGCCTGGGAGGTGAAAATAGACTTTGTTAAAGTAGCTGTGTGCCACTTACCTGTCACTGTGGGATGGAAATAGGCTGCCCGTTGTCCCCTGCCTGTCCCATGCAGAGCTGCAGGGATACAGGGTGCACTGCATCAGAACTCACAGCAGCCCAACCTTGACAGAGAAAGGGAACTTCTCTCTTACTTAACAAAGTAAGCACTGAAGAGGGAGAGAGAAATGAGAAGATGAGTTTAGATACCTAAGTAGATCTTGTTTTTGTAGGATTGCAGAGGTCAAAGTAATTTCTAGCTTGATCTTAATATTGAATTTTGCCAGGCAGTAGCTGTAAATCAATACAGGAGGCAAAGCCCGTGGCTTTAGTTGGTAGACTTGCAACAGCAGAAACCCCAGCTGCATCGAGGTGTACTTCCCATTTTCCCAGAGTGTTTCATGATGCCACGTCCGTGGTAAAGCAGTGTGACCTTGGAGGATGCTCCTCAGTGGCAGTACATCTTCACCCAAGCTGCTGGTGGGAGTGGACAGCAATGCTGCTCCTGAGGGTCTCCCAAGTGCTACTTCCTCACTGGCTCAGAAATGGTAAAGGAGCCCTCTAAAATCACTGCTTTGGGGCTGGTAGCAAAAGCTGTCTGGTTTTCCCTAACTTTCCTGGCTGCAGGAAGTCAGTTTATTGTCACTGTGGGCTGACAAAGTCTGTGACCTGCAAGATAAGGGAGCATGTGACAGGAGAACTTGCTGGAGAAGCCTAGAGACAAACGGGTCGAGGCAAAAAAGCCTGGATGTCCTTCCTTAACCCTCTCAGGAAAATGGGATTTGCTTTGTATCTGAAACCTCCTTTCACAAAAGGTGTGATATCAGTGTCTGCTCACTGTTCTGCACACACAGCGTGCAACAGAGTGACAATAAACAGATCTGATCTGAAAAGCCTGGTTTGCACACTTGGCAACAGACCCAAGCCTTTGCTCAACAGCCAGCTCCTGAGATTGAAAAACTTTGTGCTTTCATCTTTCCCTCCTACAGCTGCAATGGGAATTAAAGCACAATTGGCCCAACTCTTTCCTTGTGTGCCAAAGCAAGCTGCTGGGTGGAAGGTGCAGTGTTTGAGGAGCTGCACAGATTGCTCTTTACAAACTTGTTGGGAGCAATCCTGCTGTTCAGGACCAGCTGCTTTGTTATCTCTGGTTCAATTTCCCACTTTAGTGCTCAAGTTAGGCTAATGGGGGGCGCTTTAGGGAGCCTCTCCATACTAGCTTTAGGTCTTTCTACAATAATGTAGGTGTTAAATTCAATTGCTAAAAGCCCTAGGCTACATTTTCAACTAGTATTGTGCTTGCTGTTTTCATGTTTATTTCTGTGGCACTGATGTTCTTTAAAAGTAGCACTGTTGTAGCGTTGATGGTCTAAAGGCGTTAAGGCAGAAAGGTTTTTATGAGAGCAGCCAGTGTAAATGGCAACACAGGCAAACTTTTCGGTACAGAAAGTGTCAATTTGACCTTAATTTTAAGAGTGCCTTCATCTGTCCTGCTATCCTCAGACTCTCAGAACTTTTACTGAGGGCAACGTTAGATCAATAATGATTACTTCTCCGGGAACCCGTTCTCACACACAGAACCTGCACATCATCAAGCAATTACAAATTACAGCTGAGGAACAAAGGCCCAGCAGGGCAGGCGGTGGGTCTGTGTGGGGGCTGAGGCAGACCAGGGCCCAGCAACACTTGGCCCCACCTGCTGTGTTTTGTCTCTTGATCAAGTGCTGGCTCCTCCCTCTTCTCTTAAAAAAAAGTTTTGGAGTTTCGTGGTCAGCTGTAATGTTTTGTGCCCATCACAAACCTCCTTTGTCAGTGTGACGTACCCTGATCAAATCCAGCTACGGAGTTGTGATTTGCTGCTAGTCCAATGTACCACGTACATTGCAATCAGATTGCAGAGGGCTGTGTTTCCCCCTGGGAAGTGATCTGCAGAAAAAAAATCACAGTTTAATGAAAGGATCTCTTTGAGAAGAGATTGAGAAGAGAGCTCCTCTTTAGAGGAGAGAAGGAATGGCAGCAGGTCGGCAATGCAGGCAGCCCCCATCCTGACCTACCTCAGTCCCCACGTGTCTCTATAAGTTCTGGCTGAGTGGGGAGTTGATTTCTACTTCTAATTACAAATATGGTAATTAAAAAAAAAAGTTTTTGTGAATTTTTGCATGCAGGATTTCTTGTTTCTGTGCTGCTAGCAGAAGATGGGCAGGGGCTGAGCAATCTGTTCCCTGCTGCTGCTACTCCTCAGGAAAGCTCCTGGAAGCACTTGCTCCAGCTGGCTGCAATAAGTCTGCAGGCGCCATCACTCCAATCACTGCCTAAGCTGCTGGGTAACTCCCTGCTCAGAATCATGGAGGGGAGTCAGCGTGTGACCTCCTCTGCTGTGATGGGAACCTCCTGTGCAGTGCTCAGGTGTGACAAACCGCTGTCTGCAGTGCTGCAAACTCTTATGCTTAAAGGAAGAGAGCCATTCTCACGGGGCTGCAATTACCTGAGTGTGACTGCAGGGAAAATACTGTAATGATGGCAACTTCAAAACAGGTCCTCTCCAGTCCAGCTCCTAAGTTGCTCTTCAAGAATCTGTGAGAGGAGGAATGAAAAATACTCAGCTGATCTATCAGTGGCTGCTTAATTCAAGTGCCTCTGTTAGGATTCTCACCCCTCAGGCTCTGCTGCAGACTTTGGTAGGTCTGTCTTTCTACTGAAGCTGCTTTTCTCCAAGACAAAGAGGAGCTGCAGGAGGGTGTTCTGAGCAGGCCTGCCATAGCATTACAACTTTCACCAGGCTACAGAAATGTGTCTGAGCCCAGTGCCTGGCATGTGCCCTGCAGACCTGGGTGCTTGTAATCAAAATGGCAAACACTTCTCAGACGTGAGCTAGGGGCAGGGCTGACCCTTGCCTATCCTATAGCAATACAAAAAAACTGTTCTTAAAACTAAGCTGGAGTCCGTGTAGGCATCTCTGTGTGGATGGCATTGCAGCTGCCGTGCTGGTCCAGGTGCATCCTGACCCTGGAATTAGCTCATGCTATCCCGAGGACAACTTGGTCTGCAGCTGTTGCACATAACGTTATTGCTCTTGCAAAAGGAGACAGAGATGCAGAGACCTACCAGGCAGATAACGAAAGGCCCGACAAAGAACAAAAAGCAGCAGCTAGTCATTACAGAGATACACTGCTCCCAGGAAATTAAAAGCACGCCAACCACGGCGCACGCAATAAACATCTCCTTTGTGTTCGCATAAAAGCACCGAAACCTCTGGAATATGAAGAAATGACAAAGATGTTATCCAGCCCCCCTCGTGGGCTTCACCTGCTCGCACGCAGCCATGACAAAGACGAAACCCGGCAGTCCGACCGTCGCGCAACTTCCCTCCTAGCAAAGCCCAACTCGGGCACGAACACGTGAACCCACGAGCGCGCCCGCGCCAGGGCTGGGCGTTCGCTGCAAAAGGCGCCGGGGTTGAAGCAGAAAGAGAAACGACGCGTTAAATGAGCCGAGCGGGGGCGGTTCCCGTGGCTCCCGGCCCGGCCCCGCCGTTCGCCCCGCCCGGCCATAAAGCGCCGGGGAGCCCGGAGCGTTCGTAGCGCCGCTCCCGCCGGCCCCCCCCGGGTCCCCCGAGTCGTGCCCCTGCCCCGGGGGGTGGCGGTGCTGCCCGCCGCCATGCCGGGCTGGAGAAAGAGCCTCGCCCTGTGCCTGCAGCGGATGCAAGAGGACGGTGAGAGCTGGCCGGGGGAAGGAGGGCTGAGGGATGCGCTCGTTCTCCTTCTCCGTCTTTTGCTCTGATTAGCGTTATTTTGGAGTAGGAGGGGAGGGTCTCTGAGCTCAGGCACGGAGCTCCGCGGGCGGGGGGTGTCTGAATGCCGTTAAACTTCGCTGCAGCCGATCTGTCCTCTCGCCCTCGGGCGGGGGTGAGCTCTGGCGCTCGGTCTCGCTGCTCTTTCTCCGAGCGGTGGGAGAAAGCCCGAGTGCAGCTGGCCGCCCCGTTACCCGGTTCTGCTGGGGGCATTCTGAGCTCCAACTTCTCGAGCTCCCGGTGCTGCTGCCTTCAGCCGATGGTTCTTCCCAGCGCTCAACTCCAAGATGGGGATAAGCGGGTTTGCAAATCGCACAGAGGACGCGTGGTGATAATCTCGTTCCTATTGTGCCGCTTACTATTGCTCGCGGCAGCTGCGAATGATTTTGCTTACGCGCTGCGGAGCGAGGTGTGTGAAACGAACGCCGGATCTGCGGCTCGGGGAGGTCGGGAAAAGGCTCCGGCTGGGTGGCACCGCGTGGCGGAGCCCCGAGTCCCGCACAGCGGATCCGGAGTGGAGCCGGGGGCAGCGGTGGGAAAGTTTCAGTCTCGGAAAGCGCGGTTCTGTCGTAATCGCCTGAAACGGAGGTGCGGGGAACGGGACGGACACGAGCAAACTGAACCTCAGCTTTATTGCCCGTTGCTGCGAGTGTTTAACAGGGAGTTGAGTTTTTTCTTTTGCATCCTTTCCCCACCTGCCTCCCCAGGCCTTGCCGTGCTAAGCAGACTTTGTAAAGGTCTGAAGCAGCACTGTTGCACCGTGAACGATGCACGGATCAGGGAATTCTCTGGTCCTGCTGATTAGTAAGCACGGAGAGACCGTGCTGCTCGGTGCCTCGTGCGGGGTCGAGGCTGAGTCGTTCAGCTGCTCTGTCTTTCTGTCGCCGTTTCCTCCCTCCCGCTGGCTTCGGGAAAACGCTGTTTACTTCTGATATTCGACCCCTCTGGGATCTCGGCTTCCAGGCACAGCGCTGTTAGGAATCAGAAGTCTTCTCCTATAGAAGAGAAAATCCATCCCCTGTTCCGCAAGCCGAGACGTGCCTGCGTGAATTCAGCCCTGGCGCAGTGCTGTGTAACGCTGCCCTGCTGCGGTTCGTAGGGATGCTCCTGCACTGCTGGACTGGGGGCTCTACAGAACAGGTATAGCAGGGAGCCCTGACGTGCAGCTGTGTAGAGTTTGCCATGTTACTTGATTTATATGCACTGGCTCTCATCTCTGGGGTCTGTGTAATGCATTTCTTCCTCATCTTCCCTTGCACTGACCTCAGCCCCAGCGCTGCAGCACATCTCCGACCGATGTACTGGTCTCCACCTTGCATCCCTTCAGGGATGTTGGATGCTTTTCCTGGTGGCACTGCACTGATTTCTTTGGGTGGCTTGCATAGTTGGAAGTCAGTGTTAATCAGAGAGGCTTTTCTGGAGCGGATAAATCTCACGGACTGAAGGTGATGCTCTGTCCAAGGGAGAAGCTATGCATCTGCTAAAGAATGTGCTCTATTTGTAGAGAACTTTCTGCTTTCCCCCAAGGCAGCTGGTTTGATGCTTGTATGCAGTACATAGTTCAGTCCTTTGCTGGGCTGTTGTAGCACTGCAGCACTAACAAGCACAGTATGAGCTTTAACTGGACTCTAGAGAAAGTTTTGCATCACGTTATGCCTAATGCTGCCAGGGCATCTCTGCAGTTTGCCAGGTTTTGCAAGCCAACCTCCAACCAGCCTATAAAGAAATACTGACGTCCAGTTTTCCTTATTCAAAACAAGTTGGGTCTGCCTCGTTGGCATTCTCCCTAGCTATGCAGATGTGATAATTCTGCTCCAAACATGTGAGGCAGGGAGCTTCTCCCCACAGATGCTCCCTGTCCCATCCGTGTGTTCGTTGAGGACTGCAGTACTTACTGCATGTTAATGTGATGAGCATCTCTTGCAATTTGCAGCCATTCAGTGCTGGGTTGGAAGCTTCATTAATCACAGTTGGTACTGAAAAGGTCAGCCATGGTAAATCCCATAGGAAAACACAGGATGTACATGAGCTGTACTGAGGATGATTGCTGTTTCAAAACACCACCTCCAGTGATTTTTTTTTTCCACGTGTGTTCTGCCTTAAACCTTCCTTCCAGTAAAGGGAGGGGAGTGTCTACTGACCAGGGTGCAGCAATGCTGCATTCTCTAATTCATCTCAGTTCCTGTGCATGGGTTGTGCGCCTTCCTTTTAAGGCTGGGGGGACTGTGTCCTTGCTGCTCCCAGGCTTTCAGTAGCAAAGGCAGCACAGGCTGATTGCTGCTTTGGGAAACGTGGGCAGGTGGGAGAATCTCTGGGGATTTTGGTGTATCTGAGTGGATGTGGAACCTGGATGCCCAGAAAGGATGAGCTGTCTGCAGACTGAGCAGTAGCGATGTTTTTATCTGCGCTGATGGAAGTAGATGTTATCTGGCTGCACACACTTGTGTAACGTGGGGCTCGGTGGTGGGCAGGCACCCTGTGCTGAACCTGACGCGCTTGCTGCCTTTGGCTATGAAGAAATGCAGGATTTGGGTGTAAATTTAGCTTGTTGATATCAATTCCATTCCTCCCCCGGGTGGTTTTCCTCAGTAAAATCAGCACATTTGACTGATACCTTAAAACCCTGGTATGATGCCTTATCCTTAGTTCTAAAATCTAGGCATCTCCTTAAGAAAGCCTGATGTTCTGAAGCCAGTTACTGACCCTTGCGTGAATCACAGGGCAGCTGGAGGGGAAGGGGGGGAGGCAGCAACTCAAAAAAGTGGAAATATCGCAGGATTGTGTTGCTGCTGTTTTCTTCTTTCCCTTGTATATGGCTCTGCACTGGTTACCTTGGAAACAGCTGTAGGAGCATATAGGGGCACAGCGCTGCTGTGCAGCCCCGACATTGTGGGCTGAAGTGTCCCATGGTGTGTGGGGAAAAGGGGGTGCAGTGTGGGCTGCGTTGTGGGATGAAGGTGACACAGTAACACCAGTTACAAAATGTCCCGGTCTGCCTGGCATTGCTGCAGGAGCAGTTTGGCAGCAGAGTGGCCCCAGGGAGCATTTAGCAGGAAGGTGGTGGTTGGTGGCTTTGGTGGAGTTATTTAAACGTTCGTAGTGGGAAGGTAAAAAATATCGAGGCGGTCTGTCTTGGGGAGGCTGTAATGGCTGGGCTGTAAGGTCAGCCTTTGTGTTCTGTCCGTAGGGTGGTGCAGCGGGGTGCTTGGCTCCAGAGCTGTGGATTGTGGTTATGGCTGGAGGTGGGAATCTTTTCATTATTAAAATATGGGCATCAAGGAGAGATGTCCCAATAAGAAAAAGAGAAACTGTGTGCTTTTGTCCCATTAGCAGAAAATGAGATCTTTCACGCTGTTGTGCTCTTTGAGATGCACAGGTAATGTGTAGAGTAACTCAAGTGAGCTCACTGTAAAGATCATATGAATTGCCTTTTGTTCACTTACCCATAAACGTTTTGATCTTGCGAACTGTACTGTGTGTAATTTGAAATCAGCTGGAATACTCTGCTGCTTAAAATCGGGTGTGCTTGCCACATCAGTAGTAACAGTCATTCAGAAGGGAGCTCCTGAAGTTGTCAAGGCTTCGTAGACCCATCTCTCAGTGCTGGCTTGAGTCTGTTGAGCTTTCATACAGAGTCCTTTTGTCCAAACCTCTGATAACATGCTCTATTGTACTGGCTCTTAATTTTCAGCTACGGAGTTCAGCTCCATAGCTGTCACTTAGCGTGCAGTTATACTTGAAGGGCTGTTTGATCTGTCCTGAATGCAACGTGTTAAGATGCTCCTGCATGTGATGCTTGTACAGTGCGCATCCAAGCTCTGCTGGAGATGAGGTCTGGCATGCATGGTGTTCAAGAATTTATGGGCTGCTGTTTTGGTGTCGTGCTAATTCTACAGGCCAGTGCTTTCAAAGAAAATTTAAGAAGAGCAGTTCTGACCCTCGAGTGAAGTATGGTGGAGAATTAGGATCGCTTGAAGGCTGTGGTGGTAGTGCTTAAGGGATAATGTTCATTCATCAAACTGATGGGACAGCCAGGGCAAATCCTGCTAGACTTTGATGGAGTCTTCTTTATTCATTAATATGTTGATGTGGATTTAGGTGCCCATCAGATGAGGGAGCAGTAGCTGCTGTGCTTGCCTGCTCCCTCCTTACAGGCTGTCTCGCTGTCACAGGGCGCTGGATCCACACTGCTGTATGTGATCTCGTGCTTCAGCTGTTGGAGAACTCATCTCTGATGAGCAGAGACAAAGCCAGTAGGGTTCTGCAGAATGGTTTTGTGACTGGGGTTCAGGCTGTGGTTGTTTTTTCCAGCTCACTGCTGTTTAATCCCTTCTTAGTAGGCACAAGCACTGGGAAGCTGCTCAGCTGTCCCTGCAGCCAGACTTGCTAGTGGGGTGGCCAAAGGAGGGCTCTTCCCAGTACGTGTGCTCTATGGCAGGCTATCTTTCTGGGGCTAAAACTGCAGACCTTCCTATGGATGCGCTGACTTAGTTTAAAAATGACTGTATTGTTCATTACTTGACTCATCATAATGGAATAAAATTGCATATTTGGAGTAGAAGCAGGTTTACAGAGGTGTAACTGTAGTGGAATAATTACCAACTCATAGCTTTGTAGGTGAGCCTAAGATGCCAAATCAGCCATTTTTATAG